AAAGGACAGCAACTTGTCTGTTCCCCTTCCCCGATTCCCCAACACTGTTGTTCCCCTCCCCCAGTTCCCCAATAAAATCTTTAAACAAAAAGAGTCACCAGATTTAAAGAATGATCACATCATTAAATACATGTAAAGAGATTAGATTATCCAAATGTGAGTAAATGGTGAGAAAGAGGTCAACAAGCACAAAGCAATAAATACTCTCCTCTCATTTGCTGTCCCCTGCTTGTGAAGTTTCTCCATGGTGATAAGTACCAAGAAAATGAAGAAGTCATGTTAAAGGGACTGCACCAAGAATTACAGATAGCAATTTCAAGCATAAACTCTAACTTAAAACAAAAAATTATTCATGAAAGAAAGCACACTCAAGTTCCTCATTTAAAAATTTAAAAATATTTTATTTTGAAGTTTTATACAAATTTGATATGTATTATCTTTTCTTTCACTTGGTAGTTTTATTATAATTACACATTACAAAGAAAACATAATGAAGATTTTCACCAAGACTCACACCAGCTGTCCCCCAAGTTCTTCAGATTTACCTCAGAGTGCCACATCATTATGTCCGTTTTCTATGTGTGACACTGACAGGAAGCCTGAGAAGTCCTGTCTGTTGGTAGGCAGTGTCTAATAAGGAATTCCCCAGAATATGTATAGTACATTTGAATGAGCTTCAATAAATACCTTCATCCCAAAATGGTGGAAAACGTCAAAAGAACCAGGAAAACTGTGAAGGATTTTCATAAAGTCCATCTTTACTAAGCTGCTTTTAAAAATAGTTTCACCATATGAATAACAACAAAAAGCTAAAGCACAAACTGAAGACCTAAAGTAAACAAAGTGATCCAAAATGATAGTGAAACTTCAACCTGATACCATAATTGTCATTACATGATTGAGGAAATATATTGAGGCCAATAATTACATACTAATCTGAGTTATTCCCATTGAATAATGGTTATATTGAGGAACTGGTCAATTTTCCTTCTGTTCTTCTGCTCTTGCTATTTTTGCCTAAATATATCTGGTGAGATGAATCAAAGAGCATTTTCCCCTCACGTTCTCTAAAGGTCGACCCTATGAGATCTCCTAGAGAATCCAATAGCAAACACATTCTTAGGAAAAGCACTTGAGTGTCCCTCACCACTCCAGTCTGAATGATACCAGACCTCAATGCTAACATTGAAAATGCACAGGTAAGACAGGACACCAAGGTGGGATATTCCAAGCTCTTTCCTGGCAATGTCTGAGCATATTCACTACCTGGTTATATAGAACTTCCATTCCAGGAAGCATGAATGTGACACATTCACAATAATAAGGATGAGCAGCAGATATTTTCTTTGGGGACAAGGAAAGGAAAACGGAGAAAAGGCATCTAGCATATAGGCTGCAATAATATTATTAAATGCCCGAAGTAAGCCTAATAAACAGTAAGTCTTCAAATATCTTAGACATACATTAAAACGTATTTGAAACAAAATCTCTCAAGCAACTAAGAGTGCTTAGAACATCGGTTATTAAAATAGTAGTAGTAATAACAATTACTATTGTTAGTAATCTCTATTATACAATTTTTATAATAAGAAAAGACATAGATACTATATCACCAGGTCTCTAAAAACCTTAATAAATACATAGTTTGTAGAAAACACAACCTTATTGAACTGTCCCTTATATTCAATTAAAAGGTAAAATTAAAACCTCAGCCAAGATAGCAGCTTCCAAAGCCTCAAAAACACTTAAGTCCTATACTATCTTTGGTTGTTTTACTTTATTCCAACCCTGAAAAAATAAATAAATTCAGGACATTAAAATCAGATACATTGTATCTGGACTGAAATTACAGTATTAGCAAGTATATTAAAAATGTCTAGCATTATGTATGAACACTAAACTATTAACATAATTTTGAATTAGCATACCATTTTAAGAGCTAAACATTTAGAAAAGTATTGTTACAAGATAAACCTCACATTCAAAATCATGAATTATTACAATACAGTTTTCAGCCTGTCAGTAAGGGATCAAATGCATCGAAACCATATTGCAACAAATGTATTTAAATTAGCTTAAAAATATTACATGGAGCTAACACATTGCAAACAAATGTTCAGTCTCTTGAGTTATGGAGCAGTGATTTTAACATCCAGAGCTACAATAAGTAATCATATACAGTATAATACAGAAATGTAATCATGATAAATATATTATGTTAAACAACTTTAATCTTTGCTAGTTAACAAAAAAAAATCCCTTTTAACTTATTTTTGGCATGATGCTGGAGGCTCTCTCAAATAACTGGATGCAAGGCATTGCTTCTTTACAAGTCCACAACATGTAGCACTCAGAGTCTTCAAGAAGATGTACAGTTAAAATGTAGGCTTGTTCATGTATTCTTCCAACGTCTGAAAGACAACAATAAATTAGAATAATTTTCCCTTAAGACACAGCCTTGAGCACACTGTGAAATATTTTTCATTCCTTTACTTATTTCTTTTCCATGGTTAAAAAGTAGTTTTGAAAAGGCTATATGGACATAAATCTTTGCTTTCTTATCAAGAACGATGGCTCAAAGTTTGAGTATAATTTGTTGACCCATCCATATGGCTGGAGCTAACTTTCAAATGAGAAGAAACAAAGCTTGATCATAAAATTAATGGCTGATAAGAGAAATGCTAAAGCAACAGCTGCCAAGATATCACTGTTGACTTCAGATAAGTGTGTCTGCTAAAATAATCGTGAGGACTACTGTCAGGCACGTGTACGAGAGAAATCCGAATTTTATTTGTATAGCATATGCATTGTAACAGATACTGTACAGAAAATCTTTAGTACACTTATTGCCAATATATAAAGGATAAACAACTATGATTCTTAAATTTTCTGCCACGTATTTTGAAAAGACTTTCCTCCAAAGCATACAAATGATGTTTCTTCATCTTTCTCATCAGTTACCAAGTTTGCTAAAATGCCATAAGGCCGTAATTTTTTCCCCAGCATTTTTTAATGTTTAAATGGGCTCACAATTACAGGCAGAGTTCAAACTTATAGGGTTTGTCACAAGCCCTTTACCATGCACGATGGATGGACTTCCTCTTGTGTGCTTTCCTATCATGTATCACAGTGGCCTCCGGGTTGAATCAATAAGGGAGATGGGGGTGGGGGGGGGAGCCTTAGGTAACACTCCAGCCTCTGACATGTTCAATGTGTTCTTAAGGCTGAACCTCAATGTACGTGATTCATTTGCACCTGCCAGGGGGACATCAACCAGCATGGGCCAAACAGACCAAGTCCAAGGCCAAGCAAGATTGCTTAGAGGATACTAGGGTTAGAAATGGGGTGTTCTAACTGGTTTGCACCAGCTCTTTTTAAAATTGCAGTGCTCCTCTGAAGAAAATACTTGTGGTCAGTCATCCACACTTTCCTATCAAGCTCTTGCACGTCCTAGAGGAGCACAGGCCATGAGAAGTGACACCCTAAGACCGCTACCCTGGCTCTCCTCCTGCAGGTGCCGCCCTTGTCTCTAAATTAAACAAGGGACTCACACTGGCCTGGGACCCATACCTGTTTTGTGGAACCTAAAGTTTATGCCATTTATCGCTTCTCGGCCTTTTGGCTAAGATCAAGTGTAGTATCTGTTCTTATCAGTTTAAAGTTTATGCCATTTAAAAAGGAGTACAAAGTTACAAATACAAAATTGGGCATAAAGTTGATTTAGAATGAGCAAAGAAATGACAGTAGATTACAAATTTTTTTAAAGATGACAAATAGCACACAATCCAGAGCAACAGCATATGGTTTTCTATTATTAAGTGCTTGACACACCTGTATAACATCTTATGTTCATTGCATGGCTCCATATTCTTTGCAGTTAAGATGTCTTACTTTTGCAAATTTGACTATATGAGCCTACAGCCTCGGAAGTGGCCTGGGCCAGTAAAAGCCTTACTGTTGTCACATCACTGGCTTCACAGTTCACTGGCCTCTGGTTCCTGGCACTGCCTCACACCACTGGTTAATTCCATCTGCTAAAGACATCCAGGGCTGCCCTTTCTGAGCCGTGCTATTACTCAAATTCCGTGAACCAGTAACGGATGAGGTTGGAATTTTCTTGAGCTTGCTACTTTAAAGGTTGGAACAGCCTTAAAGAGCTCTCCCCTGGACTTTCACAACAGCCTTGGAGGCTGTGTCCTGGGATTCCTCCTGTCACCTGCCTGGCACTGCAGCGTTTCTTGTGCATTCAGCACTGTGCATGCTACTGCTTTTTACTGCATTATGGTTTGGTTTAGCTGTTAACATGGTTGGGGTGCACCTAGCCATTTCTCATGTACACATATACATGTGAGGTCTCCTAATGCTTGAGCTATTTAGGTGCCACTTGACCCTCCCTTCTGAGCTTGCTTTCTGATTCTGTGGTCAAAACATCTTCTGTTTGTCGCCCCCACTGGTAATCCCAAGAATTGCAACCTCTGCAGTTCACAATCACTATCTTCCTTCAGTTTCTTTTTCCTTCTAATCACTTTGCACCACAGCCCACAGGTCTTAGCTGTTACCTTCAAAATAAGGTACCGCCTAGTCATTCCCACCCAACCAATTACATTGTTCATTTCTTATCCATACGATCAATGGCTAGCCCCAGTACACTCAGAACAAGCTTTTGGCATTTGGAGGTGTAAGATTATGTATTTTCTTACTAACTATGGGGAGACAGCCTTTTATTCTGAGAAACTTTTATTAGGTAGGGGACAGGGGGTTAAGTCCCAGGGGCTACTTTGAGGTTTCCAGTTGGACTAAAAGTGAAAGCAATGTTACAAAAGCCTTCCTTAAACTTTAGCAACCACAAATAGCAACCACCTGCTTCGGTCCAGAGGACAGAAGAAAAGCAGTGATTTTTTTTTCTTTATGCAATTGTATTACTTGTGCTTATTCATTGTAAATTTCTCCAACTGGATATACAAAGCAAACCATATACAAAGTCAATTTTGTATTCAGCTCCCCAAATGTTCATTGACTTAGCTGAAGTACAAGAGGCCAAGCGAACACTGATAATGCTGTTTTGATTTGGCAGGTGTTGTTAATTCAACAAGAGAGGTTTAGAGGGCAGTCGTGACACTGCGTGCTCACTGTGGGGACCTGGGTGCTAA